AGCAAAATACCTGCCCTCGGGGGCATCAGGACCACGTCCTCCGGGTCCGGTTCGAGCCCCAAAACTTGGGAGAGCATTATTAAACAATCGCACACGACTAACAAAGGGTCGTAATGTCCGTGCCCAACCAGATATCACGGCGTGAATCTCGGCCCGTATCAGTAGAAAATCAGTTATTAGCGAAACGGGAGATTTTTATCTTTCTTAGGATTGTACTTAGGGTAAAACTCCCCCACTATATAAAGGGGAACCTTATTATTCATTAGACACATTGTAAAACGCATAATAAGGCAATATACTTCTGCTCTTTCTGTTTCTAAAAGTTATTTAAAGTTCTTATTTTTGTTCATAAAGTTCTTCTTAAGTGCAAGCTCGGAACCGAAGGCAGGTTCCCTGTTAAGCCATTAACCGAACCCGGACTCACTCTTACCATTGGTTTAGCCATTTATTACGTCTTTTATTTATTTAATCTAACGTCATAGAATCACTTGTATTGAATTAAACCATATATCCTTAAAGCCGCGTATAAATTCAATTGTTATCCGTTTTTTAGGGTAAACAGCAACAAAAATTTAAAATATATGCCTATAATAAAATCATATGTTTTTATACTAACTCTAAAACTTGAATTCACTTTCAACTTTGGTAGCTATTTACGAAGGGTTGTTAACTTTTCCTAATTCCTACTTTGATTCGGTTCAGCCTTTCCAATGGAGTCTTTTTTTTACCTATGATTGCTTTTTACTGTAGAGCTTGTGATCCCTGCCACTGTCATTGTCAGCATTACCACCACCACCATCCACATGATAACATCGTCATTTCCTCTAGTTTGTTTTTGAAGTTTGAAGGATTTAGCCTTATTTTTCTTCCACTTATTATAGACAATTACTTTTACTTATATTTAATGTCAATAGTGTAATTTTCCTTACCGTCAGAGTTTAGAAGTTAATTTCACAATATATTTATGCCAAAAAATAGTAGATAATCATCATTAGTTGAGTGACCTTTTTGACTAATCAACTCAAAAAGTTAAGATCTCTTAGAGGCTTTATTGGCGCATATTCTCTGAATTGTGACTTTTATCCTTGTAAGCATTTTATGGTTGACTTCAATCACCACTAATAAACCCCCAACCACTAAAATGAAAAACTAAGAGGAAGAAAATGAAAGAAAATAAAGCAATACAATTACTCCTTTATCCAAGTGCAAACGAATTCTTCCTTAAGAAGAAAATAAAAATAATAAGATGGGACCTTTGTTTAAGGATTTAACTAACCATATAAATAATTTTTACACTATCGATCATAAATTGTAGCAACATATTTTATTTTCTAAGTATCTGATCTTATTTTTTATGAACTGTTATTTATAGTTATTTTTTAATCTGATGAACTTATAGTGTAATTTATTTTAAAACTTTATTAGTGAACAGAAGTTAACAAATTTTTCGTTATCAGTGAATAAAAGTTAAACTCTTATTTGTTTAAAGGAAAAAAAAGCCAAATATACCCCTCTACTTTGATATATTATTCACATTTATCCTCCGTTATACTATCGGGTCAAATCTACTCTCACCTTTAGCAAAGTTTTTAAATTTGCCCTCTAATCTAACGGAAAGCCCCCAAATCCCAAATTCCTTCTATTTACTATAATTTTTTCTCACAAATTACTTATCCCTGCGTGTGCTCTACCAGATAAGAAAATATCCTCGACAGGCTGATTTCTTATTCCACTTGATTATTTAAAGCAGGAAGACTTAACAAACTCGCCACCTTCAGGGATGAGAACACTAGTAAATATTCCTTTGAAAGAATGTTTTGAAGCTGAACATAAATTTAAATATATCATTTAATTTAGAATTTCTCAAACAATACTAAAGAATTATATGTCACAAATTTCATGCAGAAGTGCTTGCGCAAGCAAAATTTGTATCAAATGACATGCTAAATCCAAATCTGAAAGGGAATGCATTTACATGGATACCTATGGCCTTGTTATTCCTGTAGTCCATAAAAAATAATAAATATTAGTAACAACTTCATAAGTGAATGCATTTCGACCACCTGAAGAATCAAATAAATCTCTTTCAAATTATCAACGGTGTTTCACTCATCCTCATTCCGTTGGAGACATACCCATAAAATGTGAATTCTGCGTTTCATTTATGGTTTGAGCATAACCAAAGACAAGAGGAATAATTATGCTGTAACTTCACACACTCATTTCTATAATATGGACCTTTTTCTTCTCTAGTGAATCACACGAAGGAGATGACTGATTTGTGAGAAGAATTGCAGTAAATAGAAGGGATTTGGGGCTTNATGTGTTTTATTTGAATTTTTATATTTTACCTATCCACTTTTAATTATTAAAATTATTAAAGAAAAGATTTAAATAAAATTATCCTAACCGCACCACGCAAACGAATGTGTGACTGAGATAAATTTTATTGGTTTTGTCATAACCGCGCTACGCAAGCGAATCCGCAGTTATGACTAGGATTATTAGTACGTTATTACTTTTGGAGAAAATTAATACATTCGAAGAAAATAATTTTAAAATTTATTAAAAGTTAGCTATTGCACTACGCAAACGAATCCGCAAGTTTAGCAATGAATTTAGTAAATTAAAAATTAACTAAAACTAACAAGTACGGTATGACATTATTGAATTAAATTATTGAATGTTAAACATCACGTTACACAAACGATTCCATGAAGTTAAAGCACGCCTACTAATTGCCTAGCGTCTAAATTAATTAAAAAGCGCTTTTTTATTTTTATTTATTACTTGTTTGACTGGAAAAAAAATTATTATTAAAAAATAATTTCTAACTAATGCAAGACATTAAACCCGGGTAAGCTTATGTTAAACTTTCATGGTATTGGGCTACTTATTTTATTTAACAAAAGATAATTTATTGATTTTAAAGAAAATATCCATCTTACTTTCTATTGTCATTGGGCCTACAAATTTTAGCTTATTTGGCCCATGTTGCTTAAGAGCCTCGATGACCAAGACAACACAAAATAACAAGTATTCTTCTAAGCCCAAATTGCTTCTTACATTGATGTCCAAACTAAAAATTATTTTTTCATAAAAGAAACTTACATGCTAA